TAATAATGCAGTGTTTGCTGACCGAAAAGTGGCCGGATGCGCTACGGCGGATAGCCAAACATGGGCATAAAATACAAAATACTTTAGTTTGTTAGGTAATCTATGCAGACAACAAATATTGTGAATTACACGTTATACACACTTAGAATGTAGAACTCTATTATACGTATGTATAAACGGTGCGACCACAGATTCTGTTCGCTGCGCAGTAACGATCTATCCGTAGTTAATATCATTCCTGTCCTTTGTTATTGCATGCCTAAAATAGGCCCAACCGTGGTTCGGAACTGCTGAACCCCACCCGTCTAATAGTGTGGAGCTTATCTCCGTTAATCCACGAGTTATTTCCTTTTATAAACACACAGATTTTCCTTTGGTAGCCGATTTTTATTTTTTCTTTGTTGTCTTTGACTGTGAGAAGACGCACCTAATTGAATCTGATATTCCTACTGCGCCCTAAATATAGAATTTGGCTTCTCTATATTTCGAGTCTTACGTCCGCCGTTATCGCCGTTAGGCATAGTTCCATCAGACAACGAAACGAAGTGTGCCTATGGCCTGCTTCGAATATAATCCACGACGTGTGCCTAAGATTAGCACGGAAATACGTTACCCACTAAGCTACCACAGGGAAATGTTTTAACGCTACTAGAATACTACATATTCCACACGCGGTGAAATATGGCGTCCACATTTCGTAATTATTAATATAACTTAGGAACGCAATTTTACTTATTCTTGACCCCCCCCCCCCTCGGCTTTTATAGCTAATAAAGTTCCATTTATACCAGATATGTGCTAAGAGTTACGGTATGACTCAGGAGTACATTTTAGGATTGTTATATACCTATAAGACGGGCAAAAATGGCGCAAAACATTTGGGCAACATCAACAAATTAACTTGTCTATCACTAACTTGATTATTCTAAAGGTTATTTTAGTATCCATTGTACTAAGTGTGTTATCAATACTTTTCTGGGATATTCAGTGGCATTTATCAGTTAGAATCTGTTAGCAATAGCTTCGAAGAGAGTCTAGGCATGCAGTAGTTATGAGACAAAACAAACTTACCCAGGTTACACATTATAACAGCATTACCAATTTACATTTCCGATGTATAAGCTTCTAGGTCAGTAATTTTAAATCTACCCATTCTAAGCTCCTGGCTTACTGCGGCTATTGAAAGGGATTCGCGAGCTCATAGGTGCGCTTGACGGTCGGCTTCAGTCGTCGTACTTCACGCCTGCCAATTCATGTTTCCTACACCGGAATAAAACGAGTTGGACAATTTATTTGTTCGGTATTCTTCCGCAGAGCGTTAGCTGATATAACCACCCAGCTACATATACAGGTGTGAGAATTAACGCGGTCTTTTTTCCCCATCAGACATTCATCAAACTAACTGGGTCGTCTTTACTGCCGGCATTCGCAGTCTCTACGGCCCATCGAAGATTATCTAATCTTTTCGCCTGATTTTTTTTATGTAGTCGTCCGGTAAGCCATACACATGAACATTTCAGCTAAATGATTTCTATCTTATTAATACGTCAAAAGATTTAGTTTGAATAAAACTGGGCTATTCGAAATTGTTTACTTCGAGCGCCAAACAAATATGGCGACATTTTGGTGACAGGGTGACATATGTTTACTGTAGTAAGGGTCACATAGAGCCTGATGGAAAAATAGATACGTCCAATAGAAAATAAATAGACAATGTCGTATACATTGGATGCATTGAGAGATTCGTCTTTGTTTCATGTTTTCATTCGATAAACTTTATTTCGCATTGCAAGAGTCGCTATTTTGACGATAGAAAAAAAAGGGCCGTTTCTAAAGATTATTCAAAGTAAGTTGGTAGTTAGCGTGCAGTCTTTGAATTCACTGCGCGCGAAACATTAGGCCGAGCGCCATTATTTAATAGCCAGGGAATCCGTTTGTCTTTTTAGCTGATTCGATAAAAGTACTTTATACGTTTTTGCATTGATATTCTATCTGTGTCAAGTCTGTCAACTGATCGTGCAAAAGAACTATCTCTTAAAGCGTCTCTTGTCTATTTCTAGAGTGACGTGGTTGACAGTACTCTGAAACGAATCTGTGTGACGTTTCACTAAGCCTGGCGTTGAACGATAAACGTGAATCCAACTGATTACTTAGCCATTATTTGGATAGTATAGAAAGCGAGCGTTTGTCGCTCTTGAACTTACGCCGAGCACCCTGGCCGCGTTGTTCATCTGACTGCATGTATCGAAATGCTGATTTGCACAAGGAAAATTCTCCTTTGTATACGTGGGAGGCCAACACATAGATAACAGGACATGAGGGAGAGTTGACTCGAGATTCGCCGAAGCCTTTCAAGGTGGCGCCACCAGTCAGGTGAGCCTTCGAATCTTTTGCAGCGGACTGAACTCTACAGAAGCTCGTCACAATTTTCAGAGCTCGGCACTATACGGCTTTTGGCCGTAAATAGTGAAAAGATTGAAGCGTCTTTAAATGAAAAACGCTTAAGTATACTACATTTTATCAAGATACATAGAATAAAATATACTATTAGCCATATTTGGGAATTAAAAAAAACATCGGTGACAAATTTTCTAATTCGTTACTTTTTCGCTATACGGGAGGCAGCACATCTTTGATTGAAGATTGCTTAGAACCTCAAGGCACACCGTAAATATGCCATCCAGCTCCCATAAACATAACTAGTCAACTTCTGGGTGAAGAAGGTACGCGAGGCTTCCTCGAGCAATTATGTATAACCCTTAACGCTTACAACGGATGCGTTGGCTAACTTAAACCACATAGACGAATCATTCAGCTTTAACGTAAGTGGCCGTCGCTAGCAAATATTGGCAGAATGGTGCCATTCAAGACCAACATAAACAACGGCTGAGTACGCGGGTATTGACTGCTCTGTTGTTGTACGCCATATACGTACGTATATTGTCAGTAATGTATCACCATCTACTCGAAGACGGGCCAAGTTCTAAAACTGTGCTCAGGCAACGATGCTTCTTGGCAAAGCAACGGTAGTGTAGTTAATTTAAATATATCGATATTATAGGACTGTAGTAAATGTATTTCTTTTGAAAGAAAATAACGTTTACTGTCGTTGTTGCCTTATTTCAAGTATCGATTGCTTGTTCGAAAGGTAAAGCTGCTGGCCTTATTCGTATTTTTTTTTTTCTAATTATTCAAGGTCGCAATAGATCCTGTCCTAACGTTTGTGTTTCGTATTTGAATCGTGAATATAATTTAAAACTATGTTCGCTTTGGAGCACCATTTTTCTAAAAGGCATTTGTAACATTCAACAAGACTTGTTTATCAGGAATGCCTATTCAGGGAAAAGGAAGGGCACCTCGTATTGGTTTAGACATTAAATAAGTTGCTTGGCAATCCTCGATACAATTTTTGTCCAACTGTGGGAGATATTACTGTCTGATAAACTGTTTGCAAACACGCACTTAGTATTTTTTTTTCTTTAGCTCCCTCAACAGGTAGTTAACCAGTTTGTTCTCTTATTTTATAATAATAATACCTATTCTAAATGCCACTACCGTTGGAAGTAATCACCCAGACAAGTTTACTGGTCGGCAACCTTAGTCGTTCAAATTGTTCATCTGCATTTCAGATCACGGACTGCATTTATTCTGCAAAGATTAAACTTACGTTATCGACCAGGAGTTTGGTCTGATCAGCGTTAGGCCACAGAAGAACCATGGGAGTCCTCGCAGACTGAACTGGAGTTGATCCAGCTCCACAACAAGGCACCACTTGAAGGGAACGTGCACCGGTGTCGCACGAATCGAACGATTTTTACGCTTCTAGATTTTTAG